TAAAAAACTAGAATATAATAAAATGTTGTACTAACATCCAGTTTTACGGACGAGAGGGAAAAGAAAGGCAGACAAACAGTAACTTAGAAACACGATACCGACGTTTTATCGCCTAACTGAGGTTCAAGTATCATTTCCGATTGTATCGAACTTTCTTGGTCGATTACTGGATTTAGAGAAGAAAGTACCTTGACATCATGTCTGTAAGCTTAAAGATGTATACTTAATCATACCGAGGCAAGGATTCGCTGTAAATCAATCAATTCAGGTAATTAACAGCTTTTTGAGTCAAGAAGAAGCGACAGCTCAGATATTGGAAATGATAAACCGCATCCTAAAAAGGCTCGTAAAATTCTGAAATTCAGTGGAAAGATATGCAAATTGCTGCTTAGTATTCAAATAAGGACTTATAGAGATATTACGTGCGAAGTAAATGGATTTGGCATTAATTACAAAAACTAATTAATATGCACGATAAAGCGTAGGAAGTGTCTGATTGTTGGATAACCAGCAAACCTGTGTACTTTCCGCGATTACAGCTGATTTTTGTCGATAATTCTTAAAATTACAATGACGTTTGTGTTGTGAAACTACTAAGCTACCTTACTCAAAAAATGTGTCGGAGTGATGTCAAGTCTCATACTTGCAATCAGTGTGTTGTAATAGATTTATCTATTTCGGGCTTTTGCGCCCTTAGTAACACAACTTGATTTCAGGATGATTAACTTCATTATCTCTAAAAATGTATGTTGATAGGTACTGCAAGGTATCTCGCTCATTCCTCTGCCTAGCGCAGCATTTCCGGTGAATTATATAACTTGCAATACCTAACAAGTTTTTAATAACAATTTATTATACAGTAGGATCTTACCATACTACAGTGTACAAACAAATCCCGATACAAAAATTCAGAATAAAGAGTGTGGAAGCAAGAACCTCAGGACAAGTTTATGTTTCTGTAATAAAAGAGTCCCGCAAAAAATTGAAGCAAGTATTAGAATTAGGCGAGGGCGTAACCACTGACATATTTTTCAAACAAGAGATTCTCGGCTCACATTCCTTTGAATTTCCTTGTAAATCTACTCTAAGGGAGGCCAAGGGTTGAATGTAGTGTGGGGCAGGTTTATAAAGTACCTATATGATGTCAAAAAAACGATTTAATTTCACTTTCCAAGTTACGCAGTACCCCTGCCGATCTATTTAATTAAAATCAAACATCCACCAAACATTTTCTTAGTTTTCCTACTTAATATAGTATTATTTGCTTATAGAAATCTTAGCATGATATACCTAGACCTATACACATGCTCGCGAAACCTGAGTCTTCATCCAAATATAAACCTAGGTTCTTTGCGTTATGGGAAAATGTAAATAAGATACTATTGATAGTATACTAAGTGACATATAAATCCGAACACCCAGTTTAAATGGTTTTATTTTAATAAAATTTTGTATAAGTACTTAATGAAGCATAATAAGTAAATGATAAAAATTTCAAAATGATTGCACTGCTTTAAAGCCCTTTGACCTTTAATAATGTGTGGATGCACCCGGATGTGCTACGCATTCTCCAACGCGCCTAGGCATGCTTCTGATCAGGTGGTCAATGTCCTCCTGTGGTATCTCATTCCAGGCAACCACCAACTCCTCTCGAAGTGCTTCTAGAGTCTGAGGAGGACGTTGCACGTGCTCAATTGGGGATAAGTCGGGAGATCTTGGTGGCCATGGTAACAATGTGACATCATTATGTTGAAAGAAGTCTATTGTGACTCTTGCAACATGTGGTCGGGCATTATCTTGTTGGAAAGTTGGATCTGCCAGGGTGTCAAGATAGGGTAAAAGATGGGGTTCTAGAACTTCGTGAATATAACGCTGCGCGTTCATGTTACCTCTGATGAAGATTAAAGGTGACCTGGAACCATAAGCTATAGCACCCCAAACCATAACTCCAACAGTGTGATGAACATGTCTTTCAACAAAAAACTGTGGATTCTTCCTTTCGCCACGTCGCCTTCTAACCCTGGCACGACCATCGTGCATGCCTAAACAAAATCGAGACTCGTCACTAAAGACAATACTGTTCCATTCCTGATCCCAGAGTGACCGTTGTCTGCACCACTCAAGGCGATTACGTCGGTGTTCTCGAGTTAAAGGGAGGACCCAGTGTGGCCGGTATGAAAACAAGCCAAAACTTCTCATTCGCCGGTAAACACTTCGCATACCAATAGGTCTTCCGTGTTCTGCAAGCCATTCATTTGCAATGGACCTGGTAGTGGAGAAACGGTCCCTTAAGGCCAATAATCTTAGGCGGCGATCTCCACGGTCTGTTGTTCTACGGCGGCGTCCAGTGCCCCTTGCTCTTTGCGTACGGCCTTCTCGAAGCCATGCCTGATAACACCTAACCACAGTGTCTACACTTCTTTGCACTCGAAAGTCCAGCTTCCTGAAGTCCCACTATACGGCCCCTATCAAACTCACTAAGTTGATCGTAAAGAATGTCAAGAACCAAAATCCGCCAACGTTGATTCTTTACTGCGGCTCAAAATATTAATTTTTAGAGCGTTAGTGAATTAAAAAAAAGCAGTATAAAAACCGGAATGTCCAACTGATAAGGCTGAAAATGTTTTCACTTGTTATTTACAGTAAGATAAATACATTCACCAACTTTTATTAAAATAAAACCATTTAAACTGGGTGTTCGGATTTATATGTCACTTAGTATAGTTATATTTTGATTTGAAGAAATCTCGCCTTTTCTTGGAGCAAAAAAGTAAAGCTGTCGATTTGGATACGTTGTGTCGTAAATTGTGATTTATGCCGCATGTGCATATTATATTGTAAATCTAGATTAATAAGGTAGTTAGCCATGTGGTAGTTGTTCAAGAGAAACTATAGAAAACTTAAACATCATCAGTATAAGATTGACTTGAACAATGTTGAAGAGTATTAGCGGTATCAAAAGTGTATACGAGGAACAGGATAGGCCCTAATATGGATCCCTTAGGCAGTAGGCCTTTTTCTGAATGCTTCTGATTTAAATGAATTTCTCTTTGGGTCTTCCTCTGATAGAGTCGTGAGATCTAGCGAGGAATTAGTAGATATACGGAACTTGGGCTATAGCGGCAACAAAAACTGCGCGTTGCCTTTGATTCCTTTACATTGCCTCCCATTGGGATGGAAAATCGCCTGTCTGATCATCCCTCGAATTGAAATTGTCTTAGAATTAACGTTCAAGTAGCGATGTCTGTGTAAATCTATAAGTACATCCTGTTTAGGTTACATTCTACTGGGAACAATTACCTTTACGTAATTGGCTGGAATACTTTATTCACCTTCTCATAACACTATGAATATGCATAACTACACGAAAGGCTTTACACTATCGCTGGTGAATCTAAACGATCTCAATTATTTACACATGTGCCTAATCACAATCAGCATTCAAATGATACACGGATTTCCTCGAAGTGGTTCTACAAATTCTTACAATCGCTTCTTGCATGTTATGTAATGCATGTTCGTATTCTCGATGTCCAAGTATGTGTATAAGTATTTTTATAACTCATATGCATATCTCACCCACAACTCAATACTGCAATGTTACTAGAATTTGAATAATGTCGTAACTGCAATAAAAAAATTTGGCATGGATTTGGTTCAGTGACTAATTTTGACTTTGTGTTTACGAGAGACATTTATCATGAATGGACATTTTTTTAGTACCTGTTTAAACTATAGAATTGGCACTACACAAAAAATATTAGCGATCAATAAGAAAGAACAGAGCAGCAATCATATGGAGATATGTTGCTGAATATTTCTGTTTTTAATAGTTTAAGAGATATGACGTTCGCAATATTTCGTCACTGATCCAAACTATTTTACGAACTTCTCAAAATTTCTTTCAATATATACCCGCGAATTGGTAGTCTACAAAGATATGAACTGAAACCCATGTTTGTCAGGGGTTGACAATTGGCAGTTGCAATTATCATTCTGAGGTGTCATTAGAATAGGCAGAAAATGAATTAAGAGCGCTTTCTCACCGGGATGTCGTGCTGACGTCGTCAGCAGCCATAGCCAAACTGACCTATGAAATATATATGACCAGTGTTGGTAAACGTATTCTACCTTGAGATTTCCAACCATTTTGGAGTACAAAAAAGAGCCTGCAACATACTATCGCAATCTATGAGTCAGTACCAGGACACAGAAATGAATTTAGAAATCTACTTTTGAAGGAGTTATCGGTTTGGTCTGGCTTCTGTCTCATAGATGGAGCTGCCCATTTTATGCATATTTTAATTCGCAATTTGCAGGCCAAATAGGTTAATCAATGATGGCAGTTAACTTTTTGTCTTCATTTGCGACTACAGGCTTCAGTAGGCAGCTGCCATACTACATTTCAATAGGTAGGTCTGACTATGGATGCTGCGACGTTACCATGGTGTTTTCCATCTTTGAGACATAACAGTTACTTTGAGATTCACAGTGGATACGGTCTCGACAAAAGATTGCTCGTGCCGTCATATACTGCTAAATATTTGAATGAAGCGCGCCTTTGTATAGACCTCTTGGTTACATACTATATACATCTCAACTGCCCCCTTATCGAAAACGATTTTACTAAGAAAATTCTCAAGCCTATTTACTATCCAATCCCAAGACGGTAATGAACGAAACGAATAAAGTTTAGAAACAAATATCGGATAATGCCTATACTTATACCCACATTCAAAAAACAAATCTACACATTAGTACAACATAGCAGAGGACGAACAGTAAATATACCATAAGCTAACATAACATCCTAGCGAAACCAGTTACTTGGAAGTTATTTACAAATTCTAAAGACGTTGCTCTTCTATCAACTACTTTGATCGCAATCTCCATCGATTCCAATACGGCTGAAATAGTAGCAATAAGAGACAACCGAGCAAACCTTTTAACTTGGTATACACAACCGGCGAAGTCTATATACGTATTTTTTCCTGTTTCAGCACAATGTATAGCCCCATTAGGCATGGAATCGAAGGCCATAAAAGACGAAGACATCAGTGCCAGCTCTTCGTTCGATAGGGGAAATGTGGGGCCCCATCATGGCAGGTATGTAATCTCTGTTGGCATTTTTATGTCTGACTCCATATAAGTGGAATGAACCACGGTTGAGTAATGTTGCTTCAGGGACACATGTTTGGATCTTACTTTAAAGAATTCTTGTATACAGGGTATTTCAGGTTCTGTTTATTGATCCGTGAGATTGAAAAAAACAAGGACGTAATACCCTGTGGGGGTCGTAGTAGATAAAAAATATAGCAGAAGTGTAAAAGATGTATTAGCGAAAAAGAAAAATACAAAACGGTAATACCTTGTCTCATTTTGATGTTCTTCTGCTTTCTGACGGTATTTGGGGAAGCAAATGTATTAAATTCAACAAAAAAAAATGAGTCGTAAGATTTACAAGTTTATATCTCAATGCTTTCCTAATTTTTAGAATGTGTGAGAGTGCCTCTTGGATTCCCACAGAACGTAGAAAATAATTTCATAAGTTTCTATGCAAATGTTTCTGGAGATCCCCTGCGGAAATGCAGAGGTCTGCAACTAACAAAATATTACTTATTTTTTTATACCCTGTATAATAATGATTCAAAGATGATATTTGTGGAAATCATTTAGCTTAAGAAAATATGCTTTTGTTTGGTTGCGATGAAACGATCCATTTTTCAAGAAAAACAGCATAACTTCACTACAATTTAGTCAACAGTGATACTGAATCTATTGAAGAAAAGTGCCCTAATTTTGGATACTTTTGCTTGATTCAATTTTCTGAGACGAAAACAACTTTTGTCGTTATTTGTTTGAACTCAAAATAAGATATTACTATAGAAACACGTGATGCATACTAAAACATTTATTTTACCCATAAATGGCATAATAGTAGACACAAGTAAAAAATGGAACTCTTTCAAATGAAATAAAAAGGTTCCCGAAATTGGATACCCTATCCAATATTAGGAACCTCTTGATCGACATCCATATCGAAGTCGTCTTCATAAGTAAATCTTCTGAGGAGTCAGAGGATTCACTATCTTCTTATACCTTCTTTAGTTTTTTATTTTTGAAAATAGTCACGGGCTCCTACTTGTTTCTTTCCTTTCAGGGTGATCACTCTAAGAATCTTGGATTGTACTGTGGTGATGCCAGTTTCGTCAACATTATAAACTCTCAGCGGGTCAAAAAGTATATTCTCCATAGCTAGTTCCAGAATATCAAAGAAACTGTATCCTCAGGGGTAAAACCTTTTATTCTATTTTTTGAAATCCCCTGCGGATTTCTCAAAGATAGATTGGGATGACTTCTAAGGAAATTTCGGAGCCATCTTGTACCGACATTAACAGTCTGTTTTTGAGAAGGGATGAGAAATGTTATTCCATATAGCAAGCTGGTATGCCAGTCTGCGAATATCTGCAAGTCTTAGACCATAATACCTTCTGTCCATTTCCAAACAGTACTGTGCCAAGTCTTCTTCCATTTCAATTGATAAAGTGGTTTTCGACCCATCCGTAGGGTGCATTGTTCATCCAAGGATTTGCCACGGTTGACATATAGTACCAAGGTCGACTGGATCGCTGAAGCAGCTTGATGTCTTTAAATATCCCATTTCATTTTTTTCACTGCCTCTACGGCTTTTTTCTTAGGCATCTTACTGGAATAAATGTATAGGTAAATATATTTTAAAACACATTGTGTTCCTAATTTTGGATATACAGTTTTAAGACATTTTGCCTATCCAAAAAATGGCAACATTCATGTTGAAGGTTCTGTGATTAAAACAAAAAAAAAAAAAAACAGACAGGAATGTTCGATTCAGATACTTGAGATCATTCTAAAAATATTCTATCTAGTACATTCATGCGAAATTAACAATTAAATACTTTCAATACTTACCTTTTTATAACAATTTTCAGTCGGAGAAACGAAAAACTCTGCGTCACAAATAAACATGTAATTATATGGTGCCATCTGGTAATGAACAACTGAACACAGGATTATTTTATGTTAGAAAACTTGACTTTTGTGCTCTCAATTAAACCAAACTGTCAATAGGTTTTGAGAAAATGCAGGATCCAAAATTAGGCAACTGTTCAATATTATGCGACTTTCCTCTATAATTGTCCTGAAGTTTTGATAACATGGTAACTGTGATAATAGCTACATGAGTAGCGTACCGGAAAGCCTCAAGATATAAATTTTTTGATCACTCAGTCAAGTTTTGTACTTTGAGCAACTCATCTGAAGTACTGAGTCAGTCTATCTGATTCAACTTCCTCGATCACATCTCTTTGTACCTATGTTGACTTGTCCGCCGCTATGTGTCTGTCTGTGTATCTGTTGGGTACTATTGAGCATTGTCTGTATTCTTCTTATTTCCAATGCCATTAGCGCTAAGGGAAGCTCGATAACCGTAAAGTGAAGTAATTCAATTCCAAACTGTCCATTCCATCGGAACACTTTAGCTTGTTTAAAGACAAATACGCTGTTGTCCAATTTCACTTACAGGTGTCTCTCGACTTGTTCTCGATCTGCATCGTATTGCTTGCGAAACTTTGTCGATAAAAGTTTATTCGCGCTCGAAACAGTCCTTATGAATTTTTATAGATATTAGGTATTATAACCGCAAAAAGTCACGGGGCTCTAATAATTTATAGCGAGCTTTGCTTAGGAAGTTTCACCATTTCAGCTCCAAGTTTGTCGAGGATTTTATTGTTGTGCGATTGCGGTATGATTTTAAGACTGTGTATGAGGGATTCAAAACCGTAAAGGGCGATTTTACAGCCTGACTTCTATTCAAGCTGCTAGGAAAATTGATAGTAAAATGTTTCTCTATATTTTATGTTCCATAAATGCTATTATTGTAGATATTTACTTGCGTTAGCGTGTAAAGCCAACAACAAAAAGATAAAAGCTTTGTGCGTTCAAAGCTCATCTTGTAATAGTCGGCACATTACTTTCACGTCTCTCATAGACATCATGTTATAAACGGTGAGGATAGGTCCGTTGACTTTTTTTTAGTGTTCCCGAGGAATTTGTATCGATAATTTTCCAAATAAACCTTGAATAACTGAATCCCCTCGAACGTCAATCTGACATTTAAACGCCGGGTCAACTGTCGTGGTGACGGTACGCCACTCCATATTTAATTTTTTATCTTAACTTTGTATGTTCGCTGATTAAACCACATATGTGATAGTCACCGACAACGACCAGATTAGAGGGAGCCAAGCCTACATATTTATATTACATTGCTTGTCGCCAAAATTGCGTAGTTCTAGTACATACTTTTAACTAATTTGACTGTCATTGCCTACAAAAATGATCAACACAATAATTATTACCGGTGGAAAGTTTTACCTCCATTAGGCTGTTGCCGCTCTTTGCAAATTATGCAGGAAGTAACACATTCTGAAATCGTCTACCAGCACAATTATCTGCAATCACTCGCACTTTTACACTAAAAATACTGTTGTCATGACAGAACTCTCAAAGGATTAATTTATGTCATTCTGTAGTATGCACTTTTATCCTGACTGGAGACAAACAAATCGTTGGCTTCTGCCTAGTCTGAATTCGCTGATCACTGGTATTGTACCAGGTTTTGTGATACGTAATTGTAGACACGCTTTCATTATGCGGTTATCACCTAGTTGTCATGTTGACAGGGAACCAAACATCAGGCTTACAATCTAGGCCATTGCTTGATACCCATGCTATTCAGGCGTTAACATCACTCGTGCTGAGAGCTGGCGCTTTACTAGTTAATTTACACCCTGCGTTGCACGCTATACCAGGGCTCAAAGCAGCGCTAGTGATCACGGAATAAATAAAGATGGTGTTTCATTCTTCTTACGGTTGCTGTCGCAAAAAAATAATGACGTCATCCAGGTGGAAATTGGCAATGATTTTTAAGCTGAAAATTAATGTTTGTTATTGAATAGTACAAATGCTATTCTGCCCATCATATTAATGCAATTTTTTTTAATGAACGGGTCCATGGTTTCCATGAATTTACAAATATGCTTAACCTGGAACCGCTTCTCACCGATTTTAACTATGATCTATTAAATCTTAACGTTAGACAAACTATTTGTTCTGATCAGCTAGTATCCTTTCATTTCATCGTGTTGAGACGATGTTGGTTTTGGATATTTCATATACTCTTCAATTTTGAATCTGCATAACTTTCTGAAAACTATATTTATATCAAAGTAAAATTGATACTATACCATATTGTAGAATGAGAAGCTTACGCACAGGAAACCCAATTAGCATGAGTTATTTTATTATTAACGATTCCATGTAAATCCGTTGATATACGCCCGTTTTCCTGTGAACAGTCGACAATTTAAGCTTTTCTACATTTAATTAAAAAAGACAAGCCGCCAATTAAATGATCTTACAAATCTATTTATTACCGCGACGGAAACATAAAAATGATATTAATGTGAAGGATAATGATAAACATTAATTCCAACCTGTGTTTGGGAACAAAAATTGATTTCTGAAAAGTCAAATAATGGTTCAATGCCATTACTACCGATTTCCGCGGTTTTACAGAATTTTTTTGAATATAAATATCAAGATAATGTCTATCAAAAGGTTATGCGCTTATGCCACCGGGTATTCTTGGTATCAATAACAGAGCTCGATTAAAGACATTTATCATTGAAGCTTGCGTGCTCAGTATTTGAGCAGCTTGTATAGATTGCAATTCAGTGATCGGTGGTCATTATTAAAACCTTTTTGTTGTGTCAATTTCTAATATTTCTGAAAATTGAAAGTTTCATTTTAGGCTATTTTACTACATTTAAGTTCAAGTATCTTCATTTCAATCTACGATGATGGAAAAACTCAGATTGCTATCAATAAAAATATTCATTTTTGCAATCTAAACGTATTTTTGAACTTTTTATTCGAAAAATTTCTTTAAGCGCTTTTTATAACCACAATATTTGTCTTTTCAATATCAGAATAAAGCTTAGAAGCTAACAGTCATCTGTTTCGGTGTGTAGAGCGTCTAAAAAATCATTTAATCTAAATTCAATTATCCTCAACATGGCTAAAATTCAATGAACATGCCTCATTTTTTCTTATACTTGCTATTCCTTTCAATTCATTTTAGATGACCAGATTCGACTACTGCGGGAGTAAGCAGCAGCTATCAGTTAGAACTGTAAAAATCTCAGTTCTAGCTTAATAGCCGGATCACAATTTGACAAATAGATGCTGTCGATTCTGATGGAAGAGTAGATGTGGTCTACTGCCCGGCCTTGCAGTAGTCGGTCCTGGTAATAGACGGCGCTATGTGCTGACTTTCGTTAGTTGTCCTAAACCGTGCTGATGAGGTTTCAAAAAGCACGAAACAGCTGTCTTTGTTTTGGCCGTCTACAAACTGGTGGGTGAATGCAGTATATTTAGTTGTTTGATGTCGAGTAGGCCATATTTACTATACCGCCAGAATCGACAGCATCTAGCGGCCACCGTGGTCAACCGGCTCCCAAGCGCGACATAAGATCTTTACAGCCTCAACTAGATAGATCATATCCCTCAGCATAGGATAGTTGTTGTGCCTTCATTCATTGCCCTACTTGAGATACGCCGAAACCTTATCGATGAGTAGCTAAAAAACATGGTCCAATCAATAGAAATAAATAAATACAACCTAATGTTCTGATGCAGCAACAATGAATAGAAAAGGATAATGAATAGCTTTTTTAGACATTGGCTAAAGTAAAAGGCAATTACAGTAACTACAAAGTTGTAATTCGTACACAAAGATAACTGCATTTACTATTTTTTAATTGTAGTATTGTGTGTATTCTTCACGTCAATGACAAAACTTGGAATTATTCAGATTTCAGTAGAAAGAACTTACAAATACTATACTAATTGTGAGAGAGCATTAAATAGCTAATGTTTAAGGTCGTTTGTTAATTCAGTCTAGTAGTAGTAAAGGCTTTCGCATTGAAACGAAATGTAATAATTTATTTTTTTTAGCATACTGTGCTAGTTCCAATTTTTGAATACTTTCAGTTATCAAAACCAACTATCAATGGTAACCCAGTAAAAAACATAAGTTAGAAGTTCTATATAGCCATCACGGGCAAAAAAAGGAGCATAAAGTAGTGATTTTTTGAAATATCTGCAAAACTGGTCATGCTGATTTTATCTGATTGATCTGAATCCAATCTACCTCCTATGACACCCTGGCGTGTTATTTCTGGGACACCCTGTATAAATATTGTCAAATGACCTAATTCAAACCGCTTAATTTTAACGAATATGATGTTTCTTTTTCCTCGAAGAAATTCAAAATCGCATCTAATGAGATCAATAAGTAGATGGTATTATTTTTTGATCCAGTAGACCTTATGGGTTATGTTTTTCTTTTTTTCAGAGTAAGAAATGAGCTGAACGGCGGCGCTTGGTGCCCCCAAACACAAGCCACTCCAGACGCTAAGGAATGGATCGAGATCGACCTCCACACTGTCCATATCATCACTGCCACTGAATCCCAAGGCCGATTTGGCAACGGACAAGGCGTTGAGTTTGCAGAAAGCTACATGCTAGAATACTGGAGACCACGTTTGAACAAGTGGATCAGATACAGAAGCAAAACTAACGGGGAGTTGCTCAAAGGAAATATCAATACGTATTTGGAGTCCAAGACTCAATTGGATCCGCCAATCTGGGCGAGCAAAATCAGATTCTTGCCATACAGCAGCCATAAGAGAACAGTTTGCATGAGAGTTGAGGTTTATGGTTGTAAATGGTCAGATGGGATAGTGAGCTACAGTATGCCTCAAGGAGACAAGAGAGGAGGCAACTGGGAGTTCTACGACTTCACTTATGATGGACACTGGGATGGAGAGAAGTTGAAATATGGACTTGGCCAGCTGGTCGATGGCCAGCGAGGACCTGATGATTTCAAACTCGCTTTCCACCAAGAGAACATGCAGGGCTGGGTTGGGTGGAGGAATGATACAAGAGATAACAAACCCATTGAGATCACTTTCGAGTTCGACAAGATTCGCGAGTTCATCGGTGTTCATATCTATTGCAATAACCAGTTCTCCAAAGATGTGCAGGTAGCGATTTAATTCTTCACCTATGTTTGCATGACCTTTCAGGGTTTCCCATTTCGGCATGATGTAGCGTCTAGTCTTCTTTTAACACTGATGGTTCAGCTTTCATTATGTGCATAGAAGGTTCGTGATGAGCTGGACGAAACTACGTAAATAATTCTTAGAGTTTCAAAATCATCCGTGATATATTTTTATTTCAATTTTGATGATGCTGTAAAACATATATGGCATGCTATTCTAGAAACAACAATCTTTGTTCCAGGTGTTTTCCATGGCTCAGGTATCCTTCAGCGTCGGCGGAAAACGCTACAAAGGAGAACCAATTACATTCGACTACATCGAAGATAGAATCTTTGAAACACCTAGAAATGTATCCATAAAGCTGCATCATCGAGTTGGCAAGTTTGTTAAGCTGCAACTACACTTTGCATCACGCTGGATACTTATCAGTGAGGTAAGGGACTTAAACTTCACGAAATTTATTTTATGAGCAGTAGGCTTCGAGAGCATTATATTTTGATCTCATATTAGTTGCATAATGGGTGTCTTACTAAAATCTTTCCACATAAATATGCACAAAACTACGCATCCTAGAAAAAAGTTTCAAGCAAAACGATGGTGAGCCTGGAAATAACCTTGAGCACGACCGATAAGGCTATTTCAAGTAAATATTTTCGAATAGAACCCCCCCTTTTTTAAAGCGGCCTCGCAGGCTTAAGCCTAAATTCCAGCGCATTTTACACAAGGCCATTTCAAGGTCTAATCAAGACGTTGCTCTAACAAAAATGTTTGACAGCACAGTTGTGAGGTTTGTGACCTTCAAGGTTAACTAAAAATTTCCAAAATTTTCCATCACATTTTAAATGGAAAAAGGAAAATTTACGCCTGAATGTGACTTTGACGTCAAGCTCAAATGTTGAGATCAGGGTCACATTTGGACGTACCTTTCCCATTCCCACTATAAAAATGCGATATTTTTTTGAAATTTCGACTTGGCCTTGAATTGAAGTTCATTGCCAATGTCATGGTCAAGATCACTTTTCGGTGATTCCCAGAAACCTCACGGCTGTGGTGTCGGGAATTTTGTTGGAACGAATTGTTTTCGATATCTTGATTTGACCTTGGAATGGTCTTGAAGGTCATGGTCAAAGCTATGGCCAAGGTGTTTTTCAGGCGTAAGGTGTCCTCGTATTTTCAATTCCGATGTGGTGGTTCTATTGGTAAATAATTACTTGACCCCCTCGAAACTCTGCATCTTGTGTTTGAACCTTTTTTATAGAATGCGCAGCTTTACAAATATTCAGGTGAAGATATTAAAAGCGGATACCCTGTTTGTTTGCAACCAACCTGTCATTGACGTTCCTTGACTACTATCAGGTTGGCCCTGATATTGCAGTAAGCATCTGTTTTGCTTGAAATAGTTGAAGTTAATGGCCGGGGCTAGATCAAAACAGAGCTTACGTTTAGCTTTAGGGCTATTTATTTTCATCCTGTCTGACCACCGATTGGCCCTTTTATTCGCAATTGTTACATGACTGCATTAAGCATTCGTTTTCTTTAAAATAGTTGGTCACAGTCCCAATCAAGGGCTTTCAGCATACACGTATGTTTAGTTTTGAGGCTACTTCTTGATGGATGGAGGCAACCTGCTGTGGAAAGCGCAGGATACCATTTTTGATCAGTATCAACACTGCATTTTTAGGAAAAACAATATTAACACCATATTCACATGGAATCTCTTTCCAGGTCACCTTCGATTCCCTTCCTGTCAGCGGCAACATCACCGAAGAAGAAGAACGAGAAGAGGAAGAGCTGGAAGACGAACAGGTTGTAGCCCCCAAAAACCACTTCCCTACGCCTGCCATTGAGACGCACAAGAATGTTGTGAGTGCAGTGAATTCGTCTTCTGGGCTGGGGCAGTATTTGGGCGTGATAGTGGGGATTTTGTCAGTGTTAGTGGTGTTGATGGTGGTGATAGTGATGTATGTCGTGATACAACAGCGAAGGTATAAGTCGTCGCCTAGACCGTCACAGATACCGGGTGGATGTGATAAGGCTGCGCTGTACAGGGAGCCCAGTCTGGGCAGGCTGCCGAGCAGTTCGGACTATGCGGATGTTAGAGACAACGAATATGCGGTAAGTTTTTATATCACAAAGTATTAATTCGATTGTGAGGCAGTCGGATCACGGTGACACTAAATATTTTTGTATGATTTACCAGGGTGACTAATTGCATTTCTTTCGGGTATAGTTGTAGCCACTGTTCTTGGCAGGTCAAAGTAAGACTATATACCCCCATCTCCCTCATAGATACACAGGCAGCCTACCCCTGTGTGTGAACGTTTGTTCGGTAAGTTCAAAGACATTCGTATTTTAGTCCTGTATCTCTGTCTCGAACTCTTTGTCGGTACGTTTGAGTGCCCTTCAATCAGACTTGTCTGAGTAACAACTTACTTGACATCGGCGTGCAATTTGGTTTGTCCTGTTATCAATCTTCAATATAAAATTGTGGAATGACCGGAAATACGGTCAGTGGAGAAGGCCGGCAGCTCGTGCTAAATTTATTTCTCGGAAGAGAATGAAAACAGATTTCCCCTGTTTCCCACTTCATGCGTACTGGAGAGAGTAGCAGATGCGCTGAAGATTAATCTGCGCACTGTATCGCCCATGGTACGGAGACTTAATCGGTTTACTTATTTCATATAGCGTTGATGATGTAACCGCCAAGAACGGTGATTGCAACTATAGTGAAGATCATATAAACATGTGTCCTAGAAGGTCTGGTTAACAAGAGTTTCAAATAATATTCCTTTGTTATCACAACGATCATTTTCCTGAGTTTGTCGAATGTTGTCAGAGCTGTTCATTGCAATAAGACTCCAAATTCTAACTAGCAGATAATTATGAATTTCGGGGACGTCTGGGGGCAGTACTATGAATAATAATAACAAACAAGGACCACCACTGACTTATTAAAAAAATATAATTTTTTCAAATTAAGCATACAAAGATACAGCCTTTTTGAGTCTTGGTAACTTTTCATATCTTACTTCGCTTTCTAGAAAGAAACGCAATTTCATCGTGTGCAAAATTGTTAAAATAAAATCAATTTAGTTTGATCGATCTACAATACTTAGATGCCATTCTTTTGACATATAAGGATAACAATTTGCCAAAATGTTGGAAAGGACTACCTCACGCTTTTCTGCTAGCTCATATTCTCTTTGTTTTAACAACTTGATATGAATTTAAGTCTTCCTCGAAAACGAAGAATATACGAAGAGGCACCAATAGGCTGTGAAGTTAGCAGCAATAAAAAAATGTTTTTGAATAAATCAGTAGTGCACATTTTTTTGTCAATATTGCTCATGAGACTGCCCCCGTGGCCCCGCTTGTATCCATAATTATCTCTTAGTTAGCGACCTAATGTAAAGAACAACACCGCTAAAACTAAAAAAAAATGCCACAAGGATTTAAGATATTAATAGAAATCGATTTTTATGACACCCTGTATCTTGAAATTCATACTTTTTAAGAGACATATTTATATGACCTTTTCTATTCAAAAGTTTGTTCCAGGAATGCGCCCATATTTATTATCACGAATCGCCTTATTGATGCCTGAGGATCAACAATACTATATTCGTAGAGGTATCGCTACAAATGTGCAATATCCTATATCCTCATCAAAATAGTATGCTTCCAGGCAAATGCTAAAAAGCATGACATTAATGGCTGTATTTGAGATATTATGAGGTAACTGACAACACGATAAAGCCCCAGAGGAACGGCATCTTTTATTTATTTGATGAAGGGAATTTGTACCATTACATTGCCTGTACATCTGTTCAAAAAAGATACAACACACATGAGTATTAATACTTGATGTACATTTCACCATTTGAAGGAGACGAGCTATAGCATGAATTCCTGATAACTGCGTGTTATACCGGGTGTTCCAAATTCGACACTCACCATTGGAATCTCGATGAGATATATAAAGTAGCTTAAATGGGGCAACATTGCGAATTTGGGTAACTAATAAGCCGCTTAGCAAGTTTTGTACATCAAAGTACTTCCAGAGAGAGGCGGAAAAAGTAAAATTTTTCAAACATCGTTTCAAAATAAATTGCACGTTAACTTTTCCACTTTTATCTTTACAAGATTCAGAATTCAGAATTTCAATATGACGTTCCGTCTATCATCCTCCAGCATCAACATTTTTTGCAAATGGACGCCATATTCGATTTTTACATAGATGGTTAGTTTAATTCTGATTTCAAAAGTATATAATATGACATACATAGCATTGTTAAACTTTAATTAATTCAAAAAAATAAAATTCCTTAGGTAGGCCTTGATTTGTTTCGTATTCCGGAGATATTGAAAATTGTTGTTTCTTCCTGGTTTTATTTGCATTGGGGCTTTAAAGCAAGTTGCATAGTAGCACTGCACTCCTTCTCTACAAGAGAGCGTAGTCAAATTCTCAATTGGACGTTTGTGCTTTCGATTTCCATCCTCAACTTTGTTTTTTACTATTGAAACGTTGCGCAATTGAACATAATTTTTGATTCTGCATTTAGTTATGAATATAAATGATAAACTTCACATATTCAATTAAAGTTATATATTCTACTTTGAATTTTGACACTTTCTAAGCAGCCTTTTGTCAGTTACCTAAATACGCAACTTGCCACCCACTTACCGTTTCTGAGATCCCAATTATGAAGGTAGAATTTGGAGCACCCGGTATACATTTCATGCCACAATAGAGTTCCGCTTAACAAGCTTCGGCAATATATCCATCCCAGCTTCCCCGAAAATGTTCAGCTGAGGGCATCTCTTGGGAAACACCGTCGCGGCCATTCGGGCTACCCTAACCTCTCTGATGTGAACCGCATGGGAAATACACCCCTAATGAAGGGAGAGCTTCGAGAATGAGATCACTGCGAGGTGTTTAACGTAGAACGGTTAACGCAGACGATCTCTCTGCGCTGCAGTGAGGATTTGGTTGCTGACATTGTAAGGACTTGTTTCTCTCCCGCAGTGGTACGTGGCCGTTGCTTTTTGTGATTCTCGGTTTCTGTGTAAAGGGTTTGATTTTAATGGTGCGGCAACAAGGAAAATATGTTTGTGTCAATTATAATCCTCAAGAGAGTAAGACCTTTTATACAAAATTTACTAAAAAATGAGCATTACTGGCGGTACTTCGGTTCATCAAAAGGTATTTGAGACCGTGATCAATTGTTACAGCAGCTGTGATAGATACCAGGCGATCAGCTGATTACTCTGCCTTAAAATTTTTATAATGGTGCTAGCTCGAATTATATAGAATCCATTCATGGACAGTAATTTGTGAAAGCTTCTACCCACTGCAAGTTGGCGTCTAACGCAGGTACCTCATAGCAGCTGTTTAATGTCAGTGATGACTTCGGTGATGAGAGACAACAGAAGTGACATCATTGCGGAAAAAGTCGAACTGCTATCTTTGAAAAGCCAACAAACTGAGCAGTTGTGTTAACTGTGTCATAATGTATATCATGGAATCCCTTAAAATGAAGGCAACCAAGAAAACATTGCTTCTCCATTATGAACTCTTTTTCTAAGGCATCGGTCTAGAATTATGTTTTTCTATCTGGGTGCACGATGGCAGCGCCACCTAGCAGATGCCGAATAAAAATATTTGTGCTTGATACATACTATTGTATATAAGAGATATCAAAGAACATCACAGTCATTCAGTCTATTTGAGGTTTGAGACAATTTGAATTTCAAACCGACTATCAGGCCAACAATGTTGCTATCTTGTCCAGCACACACACACACCCCTCCTACCCTGTGCGGTCCCTCCACCACCCCTGTTCCAGGCAACCTCAAACCCTTGAGGAGTGGGGGGAAGAGCAATCTGAGCATCCCTCCTCTCCCGCCCGAAGGCCTGGCGTGGAGCTTCCCGAAATTTGACTCGATCGCGCACGCGTCGCGGAAGCACGTGGTAGACGTTTCATCCAACTGTCGGTTCTCGACTTTTATGGACGGTGTCTTTCTTGGGGGTCCTGCGCTGGGGGATTTGACCTAAGCCTCGCATTAAGGTTGGTGAGCCTTCGCTCTTTCCTCGTCGACTGGAGTCAGTCAGTCAGTCATTTGCTGTTTGTCTTCGTCTCCTGAGGTTAGCCCCGAGTCCGTGCTTGACTCTGGCCACCTCAATCGACAGGCTTCTTTTTGTCCACCCGTTGTACACGGGCTGTTCTTTCCCCTCTTTGGTGTACAACTATTGTCGGTCTTCTCCCCTTTTTCTTTGGCCTCATCAGCTGCTAGGTCCAAATTTCTTCTTGTTGCAGCTGGTTTTTCGGTCTTTTATGACGCCTTATTGTTCTTGGGTCGTAATCCAAGGCGTCTTTAATCAGCACATTTCGGTGTCTTTCGGTCTTTTCAAAGAACTTTCGGGCCCTCTCTCTCATCTGGATTACGACCGGTACCTGTCGTAGTTCGTCATATAGCACTCTGTTAGGTACATACCACGGTGCGTCCACCGCCTCACGGAGTGTTATGTTTTGTTGAGCTTGGAGCCTCTTCTTCAACGTTTTGGAAACGTAGCCCCAAGCTACTGCCTGCATAAGTCAAGACTTGGGGCAGCACCATCTGAATCATGATGGTCTTCTTCGTTAAGGACACTTTGCTTCTTCTGCCTATTAAAGGTCTTAGTTTTGAGCGTGCCATCTTCACTTTCTGCTCCTGGCTCTCGACATGGTTCTTCCAAGTGAGTTTTTGGTCCGTCTTGACTCCAAGGTACGTGCTGGAGTCCTTCCAATCGACCTCAACTTCTTCGTCTCTTCTCCAGCCTCTCTCCATTCTGGTGGTTGTCATCTTTAATTTGGTTTGAGGTAATTTTCGATTTCTTCGGAACAGTACCGCTTCGGTCTTCTCAGGGTTGATGCATGCACCATTCCTCTAGGTTGGTAGTCGCTCGTTGCAGATATTCCGTAACCATGTGGGGCCTCGTACTTTCTGCCGCATATGCTGTATCGTCCACATACACATACAGTTGCGTTTGTGGAGTCTTCGGGATGTCTGAACTGTAGATTGCATACAGCAGGAGTGATAGAACCTCTCCTGCGGTACTCCTGCCTCCACAGTCCTCGTCGTCGAAGTTGCTTTACCAATCCTAGTTCGGAATTTACGATGCTTCAAATAGGACTTCACCAGTTGGATCATCCCCATTGAGTATCCGAGCTCTACCATCTTGTAGACCAGTCCGTCATGCCAAACAGTGTCGAACGCCTTAGCGGCATCCATGAACACAGCTCTCATGGCCCGTCGAGTCTGGAACGATTGCGTTGCCGTCTCGACCAGCCTTAGGTCCTGGTGATCTGTTGAATGTTCGCTTCGGAATCCGAACTGTTCGTCTGGAACTACTCGGCGTTCTTCGGTTTCGTTCTTCAGTCTTCGTTCGATTACCCTTTCCGCAATCTTGCTCAGTGCCGTCAACAGGCTTATGGGTCTGTAGTTATCTTGTCCAGCACGTGCGTGACGATATATTTATACCTCTTCCCCACCATGGGCATTGGCCCTGACGAATCAGCACTCAGCATCCGTTTACTGAAACAGCCAAATATCGGACCCCAAAATTTTAACAATTCCCACATACGCCTCTTTGGAAAAGAGCGAAGACCATTGCGGAATATGGCATTGACTTTGATATTTCCAACAATCAAACATAGTTTATGATGTTTTATTCACGTTCCGTTCTCACAGCCATCACAGAACAATTTCAAAAAAATGTTTGAGTTGCACACAATGACAAAATGCTATATGTAAAAGAGTTAACCGAATACGTTCGTATATATATATATCCATTTTATTCTCCAACTAACTACTAATAATATCAGTTATATTTTACAGCGTACACACCAGCAAAACACATTATCAAGGCGAATCAGAGAACAACCTTAATAAAAAATGGCTTATATGACGTTTAAAGTGAACATGCGCGAAAAATTCCTGCAAACTCAAATACAGAAACGTTGTACATATCGTGGATAGTTCTGGAACAGTAGACGACGAAATCTGATTAAACATTTACGATTCCACTAGTTCGCTAACATTAGCTATAAGCGATTTAGATGATAACAACGTTGTCATACTGTCCTAGATAATGTAGTATCTCATTTGTTTGTACATTATTTAGACCTTTACACGAATTTAGAAGAATTTCGAGAAAATAAAGTGTCTACGATTCCATAACAATCAAAATCATATTGATAATATACAAATCGCGGTTGGCAGCACACACTTCAAACTCACGTTAGCATGGAAAGTTCAATATGAAAAGCTAACCAAATTAAATTCGCTTACTTTAATGTTTAGAAACCTACGTACAATCTTAAACACACCTCAAATAATCTCAATTTAATACGCCCAGGTCGATTCTCGACTCCGTTATGAAATTTGCTTATGGGATAATTTTAAAATTTGTACCTCTTACGTGGTTATATATTTTAGAGTTATGCTTATATGTTTTTTACTATAAAACCAGATTTCCATTATGACGTACTACACCCGACGTAAATTCATGACAAAAAATGCATTGCAAGTTCCATTTGCAACTGCAAGTTCGCCCACCATAATGGGACCAAACCTTTTTAAACGTCAACCGGATTATGAAAAAGTAAACGCCACTAAGAAATCCTTTAAGAGAGAACTCAAAAGTTATCCGATGGAGAACTGGTTTATAGTCTGTCTAAGCTTCTGTAGTTTTTATAGGAAACCTTACTGTTAAGTCTTAGGATTTATTGTATTGACAATTCCTAAACAGAGATGTGTGTTTATGGAAAATAAATTGAATTCAATTCATATAACTCAGAAACTTGAGCAACATTCCTTGTTCCAGGTACCACTGCAGCCACCGCCAACTCCCCGTGCCCCACCTGCTCTTCACAACTTCTTCCCCAAACCCCCTCCAGTGCCACCGCCGCCCGAGCGGTACTACGCAGCCACCGAGATTTGCAATACGGGCTTCGTACCACCCCCACCCCCCTTGAGCACGCCGCCTCCGTCGAGGATGGGCCGCCAGCCCAAGTACATTTCTACCACTAGGACCTACGTCGGACCCTAGGATGACGCCCCTTTTCTGTGATACTACCAGACACATCTCTTCCCTCAAGGCACCTCACCAGTAGAGGACCCTTTTAGGTGAGTTCACGTTTCTGTAAGAATAAGCCATTACTATAGTGACGCACCAATATGGAAGATAGTAACGTGTCACTGATCCTGTGCATAAGTACTACACCGAGTTGGCAGTGGCGTTTCTTCTAGACTCATTTGAAATAAAATACCAAATCCTATCCCACGATGTTATCATATTGGAAACTGCGCTTCAGTTGTACAACTACAATTATACCCTAAGCGACGAAAGTCACAAATCATCATATAGATAATATATTGTTTATCTTCATAAGTAAAAAATATATGTTACCTGTTTGGAATTGCTCAATACTAAAACTCATCATCACTGTATATATGTCGTAGCCACATCCCAGAATTGATCGAGCATTTCATGAAATAGCTAACTAAATTTGTCAACGCTTAACGATCTAATCATCGACGATTGACCATATCGTGAAATAGGTGTCCATAGAATTTTTAATAGGAATTCAGAATATACCTATGGGTTACGAACTCGTTTATTGCTCTACAATTACCACAATGATTAAAACTAGTAACTCAAGAAAAATAAAACAAAGTAATTATATTCAAACATTTTAAAGCGCACGTACCACAAATAAATGTTTGGTGTTACAAATTATTACACCGCATTGTAACCCTGCTTTGATTTATTCAACGTATAATCTAAAAATAAAATACCAATTGTTAATAATATATTTTAGTTAGCACAGGATTTTGATTTAAACTATAATTCCAATGTAACTTAAGAGTGAAGTACTAGCCTGTGAAACACGTTTCCAATTCCACGATTTTTTTGATGTTTTGGTCGGTACTTGCGTGATCCTCTTTGTCGTAAAGCCTTTTAATTTCACTTTCTCATTATTTGGTAACGAATTACTAGAATTTCCACTTCGAAAGACAACTGTTATTAACGACTGCCATGTTGAAATGTAAACAAAGCGCTGCTATCACCTCTAGGAGTAATTAATGTATCTATTTTACGATTTGATCAAACTTGCTTGACCATTTCATGAAGTAGCAGAGCTGAACAATTTCTTCAACGCACATCATCATATGTTCAAAAGATAGTGATACATTGAAATGTATCACTATCATGAAATGGTCAATTTTACGATATAGCGACGACATATATAGTACATAGCGCCCATTAAATTCCTCCAACAATGACAATCATGTGTATCCAAATTTTCCATATTTCGTGTCTATGAAGCATTACAGCTGAAACGTATAGATTGTTCCTGTTTTTCTACACACAAATAAGAAAAAATTGGACAAAGTGTCTCTTCAAAGGTACACAAAAAATGTGTTTTGCTGCAATATATGTTTCGAAACTGACGTCATACGTATTCATATATCTATTTCGTAAAACACATTTTCCCGATATTTGTTGATAAATCACTCCAAAAGACAATTTAATATCATGCATTTTACTTGCACAGAAAACAGATACGGAAGCAAGAGATGTCCACTAATCATGTTCAATGTCACAAAAACTAAACGTTATGCTTCTCCGAACAGTTTCCATTCGGTTACCATTAAAACCGTAATCACCTGATATTATCAAAATGTCAAAGCTGTAGCTAATAAACAGTCCTATTTTAAAAGCTAACCATTACAAACTGGCCCTCATTCATGGCAATCTCTTAAGTAGCTCCGGAACATATTTTCCTTCGTCTTAAATTAGGTACAATATTTATCTTAAACAGTCGTTTATTTCCTGATAAGGCTTGAAAGCGAGCGATATATGGACGTGCATGCGGCTGTTTATTTTTAGTGCGGGTAACCGAACTGTATCTAGACGGGTCCATATGTTTTAAGAGCTCTGATACTCGGCAATGTATATTAGACTACAAAGCGTCTCATAAGAGTCTTTTGAGAATCCAGTCTATACTATCAGCAATCTTCGAAACTGAATGATCTAACATTTCGGCTAACGGCAAAATTTTGATTTATCATTTATAGTTTGCCAGTGTTTGCACGACGAAGCATATTTTTGGACAGGCCATCTCCCAATATGTCAATCCTTCGTATGCATATACAACACAAAAATTAATTCCACATGTTCCCGTGAAAATATGATGGTGAATCTCGTATTGAGAAACATGCTCCTAAAGGACACCACTGATCAAATAACTTTTGATTGACATTCAATAAAATTTGACAGCTGACAAGCTATGATTGTTATGGTTATGATGGTGTCACTCTGGTAAAAGTTTAACTCGTTTAGATAGCCAGGGATATACTAGTCCCAAGGCACTATTATTGAAAATGTTTGCACCCTAATGAAGCAATGATAACATAACGATAACATTTTCACCTTAACAGCGATAAAATGGACGGTTTTTGAGGAAAATCTCTTGTTTCAGCCAATTTTGGCACTGAATCTAGTATAGTGATTACACAGTTTTAGAAATATAATAGAAACTAGAAAATTTGTATTAGCGATACAAAGAAAAACACATTTTTTGAGATTACTTGATTAAGTTATAGATTTAAGTCAGATGTTTTGAGGCGCGACTACAGATTCAAAGGACTGAAACGGTATTGAAACAAGATCGTCCTTCTCACGAAACTAAGCAAGAATCTATTTTTTCAGCTATATAATTGTTTTCATTTTTGATCACATGGCTAAATAATTGAGCAATATTGTGTTAAGTCTTGTTAGGTTCTGGAGCTCTAAATAACTTAGCTATTCTAGATGGATACTGGCAAGTGAGGCTTTAACTGATTACTACTTTAGGGGCCTAAATCTAAACGTTTTTTATTGGTATGTTTCCTAGCTCTGTATGTATATGCGAGATTGATATACTATTTTGGAACGCCCTGTGCATCGAGTACGTAACGCGTATGATACACGGTTGGCGAGCATTTCAGAACAAGTGTTGATCTAAATACCAAAAATGGCCAGTTTCGTGTATCATTGTAATACTGCAATCAACTAATGTTTTGAATAAAAATTAAGAATAAGAACCTCACCTCCCCTTTTTCTCCTTCAGAAACTAATCGCTCTCACATTTTTTTCTCACATCCAAAATCTATCTGTGAAATGCGCCTTTGTGCACAGAGCATGGCGTGGGCAGCAAACTTGGGCTATGTTCAAGACATTGTCTGGCCGAATCATAACCACATGTTTAAAATTTTGCTTATTGTACGACGTTTCGACGACCTCCACTGCGGTGTTTTCCAAATACAATTGACAAGTTTGACTCCTTACAAATACATTTTCTCGCATAACGTTAATGAGAATCATGCTAATGCACCTTCTCTTCTTTGCAGCTCGATGTTGTTCATCTAATGTGAAAGGCTGAAGACTACCAAATGTAAGGCTTAAATTATTTAGTTTTACTATGTACGATACTTCTGCTTAAGATTCAAGACAATCCAATCTCTATATGTGGTAATACTTCGAAGTAGATGTTTGTAAATATCCCTATTTTAAATTATGAACTCTTTTTACCTTTGTACATACATATCCGATCAGTATTGTAAATAAACGAGAAATATCGATTAGCTTACTTGTTTCATTTCTTTATTGAATGTAGCTTCTTCTAAGATAACCGTTCCAAAATAAAACCAACACCATTTGTTGGGCCAGGGTAAGTAGCGCGCAGAGATTGGTAACACAGTACACAGTAATGATCATAAAGACCAATTTCTATGGATATCTTGAAGGGTATAACCGTATTTTCTATGTTTCTCAGAAAACTGTTAGACATAGAAAAGTGGCTATAGTTTCCAGCTCATTTTGGGGCATGAGGCTCAAATGCATGGTGTGTGGCAAAAGTTAACAACGGCATGAGAAATCACTTCAGAACACGTTAAAATTTAGCAAACCTTATTAAGCAAAAATGTTTCCATTACAAACTGAATGTGACTAGTTACATCAAAATAAAGTCAATTTTTTGCAAAAAAGATAACAGTAGTAATAATAATGACAAATTTATTGTCCAATAGTTTTCCATTTACAGAACAATATATACACTAATTGAAAGAGCGAAAAACAACTAACTTAAAATAGATAATAAATGAAAATTGACCTTCACCAAGAGTGTAATAGAGTTACGAATAGGTATCATCAAAACTATTAGCTGTCTTAGCAAGAAATTAGGATTAGTAGAAAATATGTCACACTAACACCCGATTCCGTTCAAATTAATGTAAGCAGAATATTTTATTTCAAATGTTGGAATATAAAATTTGTGCTGTTGCACGATTGGCGGACAATCAATTAAATTATGCAACAGTTTGTAGCCCAATAGTAGGCATAGTACCACCGTTGCTTTAAAGTTTACATTTTTAATCTACTGCATAATTCCTTACTGCCCGTACCTCTTGCTGGCTATGTCTCGTCAATCGTGAAGAAAACAAATTTCATAAATTTCCAGTGTACTCGTTCAGTAGCAGTGTTGTGACATTCATAGTAGTGGCTGCAAATAATTCTACTTTCGATGTAACGTACCCAAAATATTGCAGCTTAATCGAATGTGAATAAGATTTCTGCAGGTCCTACTATGTAAGCCATATGCCATCAATGCCTCCAACGTTCTCTGCTCAGTAAAAATTAGCTTTTTAACCAGTATTATACCTAGGCCCGTACATCAGAGCATCCTATCACTGACCATCAACAGAATATGCAGTAAAGTTACCTTCTTTGTGTTACAAGTTAATACTGAGCCTGAAAGCGCTCAGTTTTTTCTTAGGGTATTCCATAAATGGTTTTATTAATTTTGTGAACACATAAGGGGTATAATTTACCCTAAACGGTACAACATTGTATTGGAAGAGTGTCCCTTGAATATGAATATGAAACAGATTCTATGACTCTCCCTGATGTATAGCAAAATCTGCATATTTCAAATCCAGATTCGTTAAGAAAGTATCTCTACGGAGAAGTCGGATCCCAGTTCAGTAGCCTAGACTTAAGAGTTCTATCCCTATAAACAGACAAAGTCTCTTGAGGTAAAGAATCAAACGTGTTGACCCATCAGACTTGGGGGCAAGAAATAGTTGGATACGTCCTGCTGATCTACATTCCTCATCTACATCAATAATGGGTGATATCTGATGTTGTCTGACCTTTTGGCCTTCAGTTGCTGCTCATGTTTATCTGATTTCTATTTAGAATTGAATTACTTGGTCAGACCTACACCGAAAAACAAGATATCAATGGAAGCCTCTCTCAGATTACTCCTGAGTTGTTGTGAATGTCTCCCTTCTTTGAACCTAGAGGATAAAGTATTGCCACTTGCAGTTAATAAACAGCTTACATGTTGCTGTACACGGACCAAGCACGCATCCCTGCGTGCGATAATTTCTATTATGGCTTCCGCTACCTCACCTGGTTCACCTTAGATGGCTAGAATAGAACAGCATTTATTCATCTATCGTCATCAGCAAGACCTGCCCTCGGAATGTCAGCCTTGGAACAACGCGCGAACATTAATTGCACTAAGTTCGCCGCATCATCGTGGTGATGCGTCATCTATTGAAACAGACTACGTGACCTTTAAGACAACACAATCTAGAGTGCCCTGCTGTTCGAGTACCACCTATGTAAAAGGTAACGTTAATCGGGCATAATGATATTTAACCTCCGTTATTACTGAACCTTAGAACTTTGGTGATTTCCTAACCTGCCATATTCATACGTACAGTCCTGTTCCATAGTTATCACCAGCCAGGTGGAATTTGCTATCACAAGCAAAATGTAACGCTAGTCTACCATAGGTGTACCTCATTTCTGTGTCGTTAGTGAAAAATAGTACTTCAGCTGTTTCGTAACCTGTCATGTGCATATTATTGACCTGTTCGATGGCTATTCCAAACCATACGGAATTTGCTGTCACAAGCAAAATTTAACGCTAGTCTCACATAGATAGAACCTAATCTCCATCTGTTATTAACGAAAAATGGTACTTTAATGGTTTCCTAAACTAAAACCAGACGAAATTTGCTATCACAGGCAAAATGTTACGCTAACCTCGCATAAGGTGCCTACTCTTTATCTGGCGATAATACAAGGAAATACATTGGCGGTTTTCTAACTTGACATGTTCATAATTACACACCTGTTCCATGGTTATCACAAACCACGTGGATTTTGCTATCACAAGCAAAATGTACGCTAGTTTCGCATAGATGTTACCTAATCTCTGTCGTTTATTAATGAAAAATGGTACTTCGGCTACTTCCTAACTTCTCATGTACATCCTTACAATACTGTTCCATGGTTATCACAAACCAGATGGAATCTGCTATTCCAAGCAAAATGTACCGCTAGTCTCGTATAGATGAACCTGATCAATATTTGTTATTAATGAAAAATGGTACTTTGACGGTTTCCTAAACTGTCTGGTGCAATCTTATTATCCTGTCCAAGATTAACACAAACCAGATGGAATTTGCCATCACAAGCAAAATGTAAGTCTAACCTCTCATAAGATACCTAGTCTCTATCTGGTAATAAGAAAAAATGTATCTTAACGACTTCCTAACCTGCCATGTTCAAACTTACAGTCCTGTTCCATAGTTATCACAAATCAGATGAAATTTGCTATCATAACCAATTGAGAAGAAATTGTTGACCATACCTTGTTGCTACGTTGTCCCAAACACTTTCATAGTTGTTATTTGTGCAACGGAGTTCAGTATTGAGTCATTATCCCAAACATCTTTATTCGTCGTTGGTGTGGAGCTGACTATCGCAAGCCAGGTCCACGTTGCTATCCCAAGCAACCGAGTCTAATGTTTCAGCGTTATCTCAAACGTATTTTGTTGGTCCTAGGTATGGAGTTGGCTATCACAAGCTAGGTCCAGGTTGCTATCCCAAGCAACAGTGTCAGAACGTTATACCAAACGTCATGTTAGGCACAGTCTGCACCGTCGGTGAGGCATCCATACTAATATTCATTTAACTTCCACCTAAAACAGATCGGTTAGTCGACAGTTACCTGATGGTGATGCCCCTTCAGAAAAATATTCCTGCACGCCACTTTCTAATTTTGCTCCTCGACGAAAGAACCTTGAGGCGACCGTCGGTCGGTATCTCGTTCGACAATGCACATCTATCGGCCAACCTTCTGTCCTGTTCTATAATTCTAAATGTTTATACGCGCCGATTGACGTAACGGTTTGGCACGAGAACAAGGAATGAATGGTTATTGGTGGCCAGAGAGGAGGGAGGTAGGGGGAACGGGCGCGGTGCGGCTTTCTTTCGCTGCGTGCGCGCTTTGAAATCGTGGGGTTTGGTACAACTAACGAGGGTACTACGATATGTATTCTAAATATTTACGTCGACGAGGACGGAACGTAATTTATATCGTTCGAAGAAAGAAGAAATTACTGCTGTCTGCTCGATGATTAAAATAAAAGAGGGAATAATTTTAATACCTAATTTTTGAAGGTACATAATGTCAAAGTCAGTAGCTTTGCCAGATGAGATGAACATGAAATAAGAATTTCAGTGACGGTAGTACCTTTACAAGAGAACGAGGCTAGCAATAATTTCTTTTCTGACGAAAAACCTAAAAATGACACTACTGCTTAGAAGCCCAGACATATGGTGCTCCTTAAGCCGAAAACATTATTGTTACATCACGTTAATTCACGAACTAACTTGCAAACTCATGAGATATTAGTTAAATGCACAAAATGTGAAATACCGCTTATGCAAAGAAGAACATGCATTTAAAACTATGTCAAGGTCAGCTCAGGTACACACGTGTTGGCCAATCCATGAATTTATATCTTAATTCGTTTGCGTGACACCTCGTGAACCAGCTTTATCAAGAAGCTTTCGTGCTTGAAAGAATTCAAACTACTAAACTCATGGAATGGCGAAAACAAGCCTGATCACAGAATTTCACGTTGTAAACACTTATCTAAACAGAGTGTCCACATGTTCCAAGGACATAGACAAAATGGGACACGACTTACCTCCAAACAAAAGCGCTTCTTTTATCCATTAGAGGGCCTTATTTTTATTTTTTGAATACATTTTTTCAGGTATTTCTGGAACCGAATGAAAAAATTAAATTTGGAATACATTTTTTTTGCTAGATGACCTAATATTTGATTTTCACAAAAAAAACACACCTACATAAATTATATCAACATTTTTGCAACTCTCCGATGACTCTGATTTATTTTATTTAAAAGATTCTTTTATTTACTCCATTTTTCGTCCCGATCGAAAAAAAATCTTTTTCGTAGCTGGTATCTAAAAGACTTTTTTATTACATCAAGTGTTATTGTGTTCTGCGCCTGTATTAAAAAATTGTAATAAGTAATATCATACTTGTTTATTTTCGCTAAGTACACTTAAAGAATTAATAAGACGATTGGAATTCTCTTGATGCAACTAATTTTTTTATCGAAAACTATCTGATCCTGCTTTTATAGGACACAAAGTCGTTGGGAAAGTTACCAAAAAATTCTGCTATAATTTATGTAGGGGTGGAAGTAGTATTCGCCCTTCTAGAAACCTTTGGAGTTTTTAGTAAAATTAACATATGAGAACTAGCAACATATATATTAAATCGGACTATCGGGTCGTGAAATATCTAAAAAATGTGTTTTAAAAAGAAAACTTGATGCCATCTAATGGACAAACGAATCACTTTTACATAGAAGTAAATCAAGTCCAATCGACATACTCGTATTTTCAGTCTAAGGATACGCGGTCATGTCCACGGAATATTGGGACACGCTTGTATATGACTTGGCTGGAATATACTGCCCTCATACCCGTACGTCACAACACGTCATCCATTGAACTCTGA